AGGTGCAAACCCAGGGAATGGGGAAGCAACAGAGAGAGATCTAGAAAGACAGGAAACCAGACCCCGTTCCCCTCCACTAGCCTCCTGCCACCCCGCCCTGCAACCCTCTCAGCTCTGTTCCCGCACACGGGCCCCATCATGCACATTCCCCTCCTCCAGGAAGGCCTCAGATGAGACCTGCCTCTGCCTCCCCAGCTCTCCCATTCGCCAAGGGCAAGGCCAAGTAGGTGGGAGGCCTGGACTCCCACCCTATGGTCAGTGCCTGCTGAATGACCTGGGGCGACCTGTGCAACCTCTTCAACACTCCTGAGATGGGGGGGTTGGCCCGGTTGGGGGGGGGCGGGGGGTTGGGTTTTTGCGGACCTTGGCTGCGGTTGTGACCAACCCTGTTGATCCAGCTGCAGGGCGGGGCTGACTGCCCTCCCAACTTCCCGCCACCCAGACTTGCTGTTCCTACACTCTGCTGCCCCCATATGGCCACTCCAAGCGCTGCAGGCCACACTGAGGGGGCTCAACTCCCCCCCTCCTCTCCTCCCAACCCTGTTCTCCACCCAGCCCCCAACCTCCAGCCTCACCCTCTCCAGCACTTTCTCTGAGACTTAAGGGGCAAATCTGACCAATGCTACCCTGCCTGAGCCCCCATTCAGGACCCTCTCCACAAATGTTGATAGGCCCTGGTCATCCTCCAGCAGCCTCGGGGGCTGTGCCTCCATGCCGGGCCCCAGGAAGTGCAGAGGAGGAGCTGCTCAGGTGGGCCACGGCGGCTGAGGCCTGGGCTCTGTGCCCAGATTCTGAACATTCCTGGGCTAAGGAGCCTGGGCGCTGGTCTCCTGAGGACTTGGAGCTGACCCTGCCAGTGACTGCGCCCAGCCAAGGAGCCGAGCCACTGTGGACACTCCCCTCCCATTCCTTCAAGCATGAGGAGCACCTGCGGCCACCGCTGCCCCTTAAACAGAGGAGATATACACAGTTTTAACAAAAGCGTCCCTGGGTGGAAATAAGAGAAACACACATAGATAACAGGTTCACATTCAGAGAGCGGGGGAGTGAGCTGCATTTGAGAAGAGGAACTCAGCACTTGATCTACCTCTCCGCCTCTGGTGGAAAATGTCCACGCAGGGAGGACAACACCGCCTCAGAGCCCCTCACTGAACGTGCCAATGCAGACCCTCTTCAAGCTGGGGCAGCAAAGGAAGATGAAGGAAGAGAGGGCCCAGAATGTCAGAAAGCACAAAGACTTCAGTGATTTTTCACTTCAAGAAGATGCAGGGCACTGAGATGACCTGAACAAGTAAATTTGTACCTCTGTGGACAAAACCTGGTGTTACCCCTGGGGACGCCTCCACCGCTCCTGTTCTCTGTCCACTGCTTCACCACAGTGGTCTTTCATGGTTTCACTTTGATGTCCTCACGCCTGTCTCACTGCTGCTTTGTCCTGGTCTTTTGCTAGTGTTTCCGGAGTGGACTAAAGCATGTTCCTTTGCACCACACTCATCTCTCAGGGTCCAGGGCCCAGGCTGTGCTGAGCCACCCATCCATGGTATTGGGTCTCAGGAGAGGCATCCTGTGGCAGGAGAGGCAGCAACGTATGTGGCCTAAGAGTAAAATCATCCAGGATGGAGGCCAGACATGTGAGACATTTTCCCATTTACAATATCCAACTATCAGTTGCCTCCTTCCCTGGCCCCTGTGGAGGGAGCTGTTCAGGTCTTCGCTTCCAGAGCCCTCTGCATTCCCCGCTCCCTGCAGCCTCCTCACATTGGATGGTCATCAGATTTCCCTCGTGGGCTTCTCTTGGAAATCCAGAAAAACCTCATGAGTAAAGGATTCTTATTCCTGTCAGTAACACGGGGCAGAGCCAGAGTCTTGACTCACAGATTCTGTGGCCTGACAGTGGCCTGGCTCTCAGGTGACTCCACTCACAGTTTCCGCTGAGAGACTGCAGGGTGGCCAGCGAGCAGCAGAGGGCACTGTGGGTCTGTCTCAGGGTCTGTACAGGAGCACCCGCAGCTGTGCCGCCCCCCTATCTCCCCAGGGCTAGGGCAGCAAAGCCTGTGTTTGCTGCTGAGGAGTCAGCAGCTGTGTCCTTCCAAGCTGGGCAGAGTCTCGTGCTCACAGATCTGTGGAAGGTCCCAGAAGCTGCTTCCTCCTTGGTCCCTCCAGTGGGGCAAACTCTGAGTCTCACCCCTCAGACCCTCTGTCTAAAGAACCAAGCTCAGACCTCAGCTGGTTCTCAGGGTGAGGCAGAGATCACCAGTGGATCAAACAAATTTACATGAACAGCCCCTCCCGACCAGGCAAGTGAAGAAGATAAAAAAGGCCTGTGCAGCCCAGCACGGCACTCAGGTTTCAGGAGGGCTGTGTCCACCAGGGCCTGGATCCCCTCCTCCTCATGTTCCTCTCTCACTGCACAGATAGGAACAGTCTTTTGATGTCCGGGGTCAGGTCCTGAGCCTGTGTCATCCTCCTCTGGCTCATACCCCCAAACAGCTTAACCCTGGTCACTGTCCTAGCACCTAGGACTATCTGTCTGCAGGTTCCCTCTCCCAGCCCATGCTGACTCAGCCGCCCTCCCTCTCTGCATCCCTGGGAGCATCTGCCAGACTCACCTGCACCCTGAGCAGTGGCTTCTGTGCTTCCGTGTTGATGACTTCTCAATACTCTGGTCCTAGCAAAAGCCAGGGATCCCTCCCCAGTTTCTCCTGAGAATACTATTCAGACTCAAATAAACACCAGGGCTCTGGAGTCCCCAGCTGCTTCTCTGGAAGTAAAGATGCCTCAGCCAATGCAGGGATTCTGCACACCTCTGGGCTGCAGCCTGAGGATGAGGCTATCACTGTAATGTATGGCACAGCAACTCTAAGACTTAGTGCCCAAGACCTACAGAGAAGTAAGCAAAAACCTCCCTTCTGTTCTCTGGGATTGCACAGTCTTCTTGGCTGGTGACTTTTCCCAAGTCTAGCTCAGGCATGCCTTCTGTTGTCAGTTCTTCAAACAACACCTGATTTTCCTCAAACAACTAGATCTGACGGGGCCATATGCTTATATTTAGTTTAACTTTTAGCTCTATCCATTGTTCATATTGCCTCACCCTAATTATGTTTTTTCAAGGAGAAATTTGTGGTTTAAGATAAAAATATCTCGTTGGAGACTTTGGTGGAGGTCGAAAGATGTTGATTTGGGTCAAGCCAAGCTTAGTTTGAAAAGTATAAAAAAATCGAAGTAAAACTTAAGTACTGAAAGAATCCTGTTCTGGGTCCACATGACTTCCTTGTGTCTGAGGAAGGGGAGGTGAAGGATGCTGGTGGAAAGTTAGAGGAACCAGAAAGGGTGAGCCAAGGAGCAAGCACAGCTGGAGTCAGGGAAGAGGCACAGACCTGTGCAAGACACACGGCTCTGGGGCTGATGGGCAGAGTGTGGGTGCAGCCGGCCTGGGGCTGAGCATTGCTGAGCTAAAACTGTGCTGTCACCTACAACATGGACCTGGGGTGACATGGATCTGATAGGCTCTTACCCAAGCAAAGTCTCTGTCATCTCCACCTGGGTGATGTTTTTCTTATTGTCATCTCAGAGGTAACAGCTCAGTTGTCATCTTATTTCTATCAAGGCTGTCAACTGATTGGGTAAAGGACATGACTCACATTGTAAATGATGAGCTTGGCCAGGTGCGGTGGCTCACACCTGTAATCCCAGCAATTTGGGAGGCTGAGGTGGGTGGATCACTTGAGCTCAGGAATTGGAGACCAGCTTGGGCAACACGGCAAAACCCAGTCTCTATAAAAAATAAAATAAAATAATTAGCCACATGTGGGGCTGTACACCTGTGGTCCCAGCTACTCAGGAGGCGGAGGTGGGTGGATTGTTTGAGCCTAGGAGGTTGAGGCTGCAGTGAGCCAAGATTGCACTCCCACACTCCAGCCTGAGTAACAGAGCAAGACCCTGTCTCAAAACAAAAACAAAAAACAACAACAACAACAAAAACGCAAAAAACAGATGAAGGCTAATCAAAGTCTACTGCTTTAAATGTGAATCCCATCTTTAAAAATACCTTCATGGACACATCTAGATTTCTGTTTGAGTATATGACTGGGTTCTGTGGCCTACCTAATTTGACACACAAAATGAACTGTCATATGGGAAGATTTGAGGCAGCTCCGCCTTCTCTTTGGGTCCTCAGGAGGAGGGTTATGGGTGTCCCCATCCTGCCTGGGTCCCCTCTTCCACACTGTCCTCGCACATGACCCAAGCACAGGCCCCTGAGGCCCTTGCAGGCCTACCCTCCCAGCTCTGCCCACCCCAGGGTGGACCCTGCCCTGTGCTCACGCGTCTCTGCATCTCCCCGTGCTGGTCCAGCCTCCTGCAGGGGCTCAGCCCCCAGGACAGAAACCACCATCTCCTGCCCCGGAAGATACAACACTAGACACAATGGTGTGATTTTGTCACATCAGCGCCGGGGGTGTCTCATTAGCAACCCAGATCCATTAAAACCACCACACACCTCAGACCCAGGCGCTCTCTTTTGTTCCACATCACCCTTCCTCAGCAGCTGCTGGCTCCCACTTGGGAAGAAGCTGAATATCACCGTCCAGCACAGCACACAGGCCGTCCTCCTCTGGGACCCAGGCCTGGGGAATGAAGTTCCACCTCCTTGAGCACCCACAGCCACTCTCCTCCCCAAGCAGTGCTGACTGTAGAGACTGCATTTTCCCCAGAGTTTCCTCATTTGACCAAGTGAGTTGGAAGCTGGGCTCCGTACATCTTCCCCCACACACAGAGTGCAGGGGCAGCCAGGGCTTTGTCCTCAGTTGTATTTAGAATTTGGGATTCCTACAATCAGTGACTCTCTCCTTTTTGCAATTTCTCCCTCATTTACCAACCTCTCTGCCAGCCACAAACTTTTACCTCAAGTGAGTTAAACTCCAGACAAAATGAGCAGGGCCCCAGTCCTCTCCTATCTCTGTGATTAATACTTTTTAGGTTCCTGTTTCCAGGCTGGGCAGTTAGAAGTAGGCTCGGCGGTCCCACCGGCTGCCCTGGGGTCTCGGGACAGGGGCTGGGGGGTCTCACATGTTGCCCTTCCTGTGTCGCAGCAGCACACACTGCCCCCATCCCAGTCGTGTCCTGTGGCTGGCTGGCCCCACCTCCCAAC